GCACATAGAACAGGCGATGGCAAGAACCCTAATGTACCCTTTGGTCTTCAGGGACACAATGTGTCAGTGTAGATTAATGAATTGCTAGAAATACACCACTCTGGTGGCTGATGTTGATAATATGGGGCAGGATGTATATGGGAAATCCATTTTTCTGGGAATCTAAAATTGTTCTAAAATACAGATTTGTTTTTTTTTTTTTAAGTGTCTCTTTTATCTTGGCTTAAATGTGGTCAGATGAAACCAAATTTAGTCCTATGGCTGCCATCTTGAAGCCATGAGGTGACAAGCCCAGGGATGAATAAATGACATTCCAAAAAGAATGAGCCCACAGAGAGAACAAACATAAGCATACATGATATTGGGGAACTTAAACCTACACCAAATCTGAAGCCACCCAGCTCCATACTTCTTAGTATGTGAGGTAAATAAAAGACCAGATACTTAACTCACAGTTACCCAGGGGTGAGACTCATGTCTATTTTCTTTGCTTCTTGTACCATGGGGAGAGACTTTACCTAGAGAAACACTCCAAGATCTTATCCCCACTTTTCAATCAGACTAGTAGCTTCCCTGGTAGACTAAAGCCCTTTTAGTTTGGTCTCTTTCTTCTGCCACTTGGGACCATCTTCTGGCAAAGAGGTGTAAGCTGTCCACACTCCATAATGGGCCAAGGTTGGCGGGGTGGACTGTCCTGGTGAAGACCTGTCCTGTCTATGACTCAGTGACTCAGATTTGTGAGAAGAATGTCTAAAATACTCCCCCCACCAAGATAAAAAATCTGAACCCCTACAACTGATGACAGAATGAGCTATCATCCCCACGTTATGTGCGGTGCAGCTGAGAGGGGGAGCATCCTCAGGGTCCTGCTGTAGTCACAGGAGCTCTTAAAAGCAGACAGCTTTCTCCAGCTGGGCCAGAGAGAAAGCCAGAGGGATACAGAGCATGAGCAGGAGACCTCACAACCTTGCCATCTGGGAAGTCAAAGGGCAGGGCGTGTACCAAAGAATGTGTGTGAAGCTGAAAGTTGCTGCCTCCTGAAAACCAGCAAGAAAATAGGAATCACATTCCTACAATTGAAGGAAATTTTCTTCCAAAACATGAATGAGTTTAGAAGCTTCCCTTCACCCGGAGATCAGCCTGATCAACAGCTTGACTTTGGCCTTGTGATATCCTGAAATATCCCATCCCCATGCATCAGAATTCTCACCAAAGAGCTGTCACATAATAAATGTGTGTTGTTTTAAGCTTCGATGTTTATAGTCATTTGTTATGCAGTAATAGAAAATAAGAAAGCCCTTTTGGTAATGGAGCTAAAGCTGCATTCTCTGGTCAACTTATCAGCAATAAAGCTGACATTGTGATCTTGTCTGACCCTACTAATTTTCAATTAATTCTGAACCTCAAAGGAGAAAAAAGAGCTTTTATTTATCCACTCCATTAAAACTCTAACAATCAAGCATTCTGAAGTATTACAATGCCTCAGAGATCCTTCAAAATGAAGCTGAGATCTGGGAGCCTCATTAAAATACCCAAATCAGAGTCACCTCAGAATACAGCCATCCAGAAGGCTTACTCCACATTTTATTTTTATTACACACACTAAAAAATTCTAAGAGAAAATCTAACAGACAAAAGAAAGATTTACTACTCATCATGCAAATTTTTTAAAAAAAAAGAACTTCCCCATGAGAACTGAAAAAATTTACAACCCCAAGCTTTGTTGGTTTATATAATTTGCATTTCTCACATAATCATCTAAAAGTAACTGAATGACCAAGAGCTTTGAGATTTTCCACCAAATCTTTGTACACAGCAAGCAAAAGGCTACTGGATACATTACGTATTCTAGAAGAATGCTTATTCCTCCTGGAATTCAGTCACCCTTCCAAAAGCCCCCTCCAACACTGGGTAAATGCATCCATTGTGCTTCCAATTCAGTAATATACATCTGTCTCGACTTTCTGAAAAGCTCCCAGTCTTTGATGGCATTGCAAGGCCCGCATCAGCATAAAAATGAAATGTGACATGTGGAAGCCATGGTCTCAGATTCTATTAAATGACCCATTGAGAGGTAACTTTAAGCAGAAGGTGAATAACACACTCAACCTGTAGTCCGAGATTGGCTAGGAGAGACTCACTCCCCCAATTTGGGAGCAGATGCAGTAAAATGTTTGCATCCTCTTCCCTCATTTTGATTATTTCAATAAAAGATTATTTTAATAAAAGGAGGTTGTTACTGTAATTCCATCGTCTGCAACTGAGGAAACTGGGCTCCTGAGAAGCTAGTTATATTAATATAAATATGCCAGATCTGTCATGCATTCCTCCACATGAATCCTATTCTTCTAAATGTTCAGTGTGCCAGATTCATTGTTCCCTTAACTCAAAGGACCATGGAGCAATATCTAAAAGGTATCTTGGAGAAGTTCAAAACAGCTCTTAGAGACGGGGCTGCAGGTCCTGGGTAGAGGGCCCTAAACATCTGAGAAGCAGAGGAGCTGGAAATCATGGTTTCCATGGTGATCATGGAGAAGCCCAGGAGTGAGCACTAATGAGGCCAGCTGGCCACCAAGGGGCAAAGGTTGTAGGACCTTCCAGGAAAGTTTACACACCATGAGCTACTCAGATAAAGGAGTGGCTGTCCCGCCAGCTTGCTTAGCCTGAAACATACACAGCTCTGGGCTCTGTATCTGGCCTTGAGCCAAGCTCTCTCCCACACATATTTCATTTAATCATCATAAAACTTTAGAAAATAAGCTCAAATTCTATCTCCTTTTGCTAATGAGCAAACAGGCAGATTACCCAAAACCGCTGAGTTTATAAATGTCTAGAATCAGCTCTTGTGCTTATTTCAATCAGCCTGCTTTTTTTAAAAAAACTATTTTTGAAAAAAAAATTCCAAAATTGCCTATCTGAGGAGTTCCCTCACACTTGTCTCAAGACAGATATATGCCAGGATTTCAGACCAGCCTAAAACTCAAAATCTGGGGATTCTTATCTCAGAAGAGTAGGAAAGATTGTGCAACTTAAGAGTTTACCACTGATCTGTTGTTGATTCCAAAACAGATCTCAAAATGTCATTTTAAAAAATTAATCATAAGAAAGCATCCTTTAATAAAGAAAGTTCTGGAAGGCTTCAGAATGAGGTTCTTACTGAGTAGATGTCCAGAAAGCTAAATAAAACTTCCGTGGAATCCTATGAATGGATGTGGGTTAGAAGAGGTTGGGAACCTCGCCAATCATGTCCATCCCACATGCTTGTCACTAATGCTAGATTTATCAGCGTGAGTAAATAAATTCCTTGAGCTGAGATTTTTGTCCTTTGATTAAAGGTAAATTCTTCCAGCAGGAAAATCTAAGGCAGCAACAGTGGTCACTGGTTTAGTGCAAGGCCACGCGCCCCCACCCCACCCACCCCCACCTCGAGCTATTGCTGAAGGAGCTCTCAGCAGCAGGGGCCAGAACAGGGAGGATCCAAGAGGAGATGGGCGGGTTCAAAGCCCAGGGCCCATTGGGGAGAAGGTAGTTCATGGGAGAAGCCAGGCTCAGCCAGGAGACACCACGCATGAAAAAACAATACAGCAAACAAACAAAAAGGATGGATTTCCATTTCTTTGCTTCTTTGCAAAGACAAAAAGGAAACCATCTTACACCTTTAAGCGAGAAACTCAGTGCTACAGTTTGAATGCATCCCCTCCAAAATCCATGTGCTGAAACTTAATGGCCAATGTGATAGCATTAAAAGATGGGGCCTTTTAAAGGCAATTAGGTCCATCCTTCCTGGAATGCTGCAGAGTGACCTGCAGGGCACCAGGGAGAGAACAAGTCATGCAGGAACTTGGGGGACCAACCATGAAATCAACGAGCCAGCCTTCCTGACAAGTGGCGCAAGCTGCAGGGACGCCAGGGAAAGAGTAAGTCCCTATCTCCTGAAGCCTACCGGGCAGGCTGAGAATCAAACGTTGCCACCCCACCCGTTAGCAACTGTATGGTTTCTAGGTCAGCTGGAGTTGATAGCAGCTAAGGCACATAAAGCAACTAAACTCATGTATTGTTTGACTGAGTATGCTGACCCGGGGGCCAGAGGTCTGAGCATCTATTGGGAGGGTGACAGTATGCAATATAGCAAATATGGGGGATTTCCTTCTGTCTTGTCTTTGTAAGCCAATATTATTTCCATTGTTTTGCTTTGTTCTGACTAACCATTTTGTTTATTCAATATTCTGTTTTGGTAAGTTTTATAGTGTTCTGTTTTTGGTTTGATTTTGCTATACCTAATGGAGCTACTGTGAAGATAACAAGATATACTATGGTACCTATTATTGTTATCCCAGGATCCTGCTCTGAAGTTCTGTACCAATTTCACTGCATTGTCTTGGTTGGCTTTGTTCTGTCTTGTTTTGTTGTATTTTACTATCTTTAAAATAAAAAAATTCAAAGCGATTAGATCATGAGGGCTCTTTTTGCATGGGTGGCATCAAGGTCCCTTATAAGAGAGATTTCATGCAGCGTTAGGCCATTTTTCCTTTCCAGTCTTTCTGCCATGTAAGGACCGGGCATTCTTTCTCTGCAGAAAACACAGCAACAAGGTGCCATCTTGACAGAAGTCAGGGCTCTCATCAGACAACTGAACAACTGAACTCCCAGCCTCCAAATAGTGAAAAATAAGTTTCTGTTCCTTAGAAATTAGCTTTTGTTGTAGCAGCATAAACAGACCAAGGCAATGAGTATGCTTTACTTCATTAGAAAACCTGTGTGGGCAAATTCATACTTTACCCACTTGTGCCATGAGTCCAGCAAACTGCTCTAAAGTAGGAGGCTATACAAGCAAAGGATATGTAGGTACCATGCCCAAATTAGCCAAAACATAGAAAACACAATCAAAACATTACTATTTTATTAAAAGCAAATGATGCTCCTGGGAATGCCTTTAGGTTCCCGTTGGGCTAACGTCAACCGGATTGCAGTAATGAGGTTTAATTAGATGCAGTACTCACTCGAAAAACCTTCTCCACTCTTGCAATGCTTTTCCCAAAGATGGTTCCAAGTTGGTCTCCAATTCCAGCCAATAAGAAACCAAAGAGTGGAATCCCAAAGATGGCATATAAAATACAAAAGATTTTGCCTCCTTCAGTGCTTGGTGCAATATTCCCATACCCTAGTGAGAAACAGTAGAAAGAGAAGGAGAGCAGTGAGGTGGAAGAGAAAGCAGGATGCCGACCAAAGAATCCACAGACTTTTAACGAGATCTGTACATTTCCCCACCTCCTGAGTCAGAGGGAGTAAAATTTCATTTTAAAGGCAATTCAACGTATTGTTCCATTGTTTCTCCTGATGCCCTTCTCTTAAGCAATTTAAAGGTTTAATATATTTTAAGAAATTCACGATCATCCAGAATTGTACTTCTAATGGAGAACAGTACTATCTTCAGAAACACCAAATATCATGGACAACATTAGCTTAAGCAACCTGGATATCTGGGAAGGTTTCACAGTGGCCCTTTTAGATGAAACAGAGGATGCTTCTCCTTTACAGTCCTGTTGCATGGAGCACCCTCTTTACTTAAAAAGGAAATGTGATCTGCTGAAAATTCAGAAAGGACCTGTGACTTCTACCGCCCTGTCTTAGGAAGCTTGGTAACAGTAAAGAACGAAGAGGCTGTGTGTGAAGCTGCACACCTGTAATCTTAGCTACTCAGGAGGGTGAGTCAGGAAAACTGCAGGCTGGTGCCCCACCAGGGCAACTTAACAGACTGTCCCAAAATAAAAAATGAAAAGGGTCAGAGTACAGCTCAAGGCCCTGGGTTTATTTTCTGTATCACAAAATAGAAGATGAATAAAGAAGAGGAGGAGGAGGAAGAGATGATTCTATGCCACTTCCTCCGTGGACAGTGAAGCCTAGCTGTGCCTGGCGCCCTCTTTCTCATAGATCACTGAGTCCTGCAGCTCCAACCATCACCTCTGGCACCACAGCAGAGTCTGAAACAAATGCTTTTAATTTTTAATGGAATAGATGTTTGAAGACAAGAGAATCCTTGCATAGTCAGGTCTATTAATACGAATTCCAACTACTGCTTTTAAAACACCAGCATCTGCAATCTTAAGAGAATTTCAATTGTACTATTGTACAGTGAATACTGTGCTGTATGGATGGAGCTAACCAAAGTATTACTGGCAGAAAAGGCTTATCATGTTAGCACAATTTACATAGGATGAAATCCTTGAATAATTGATACTCACTCTTGCCAATTAGCATTACAATGTTATGCTAAGCAGGGTCTAGATAGTGGCCCAGCCATTCTCCCATTGGTGCTGTCTCTGAGTCTATGCAACGAGTGAGTTACTGGCATCACTATGCGGAAGGCTGGGAATTCACACACGTGCTCCTACCGGCCTGGAGAGCTCACTGTTGATTTCTGCCTCGGGGATGAGTCACTAGGCTATTTTCCTTCTCAATTTTCTGTTCCAACCATTCAAACCTCTTATCACAAATTATTTAAATTACAGTTTCCATTTCCTAAATGAGTATTCAGAAAAGGCTTCCCAATCTTGTGATTCCCTCACTCACCATCATTTTGATTTAAATATGCAGAAAAAGCTCTCCGGACTTCTGTCAAGTGTTTTCAAGAACTTGGAAAAAAAATCATCTTACTATGGGTTCCCCTCTAGAATAATCCAATTTACAAAATACACGAGCCTCGTTTTATTGGAAAGGAAACAGCTGTGTCTCTACAGCTTCACTTTACATGGGCTCTTGGAAACATTCTAGAAACGGGCACACACTGAAGACTCTGGCTTGGTTATCTCACAACTGCCTTATTATCAGGGACTATCGGTTCTCTCTTAGTCTGAGTATCCTATAGAGAAGCGTATTGCACACACAGGCAAATGTAAGCTGTGAACCTGCTGGTCATGCATGCTTTTTAATCCTGATAAGTGCTACACACTTCTCCCAACCAAGTGAAGCCTTTGCCCTCTGCCTCCCGGGTAAGACCTCGCATACAGGGCACATCCCATGTCACCCAGGTACAGAGAGAGGTGAGGAGGTGGAGGCTCAAGATCCAATTCTACCTCATATGCCCCAGCCTTATGCCTGCCTAACCTCTCCAAAGCCTAATGTTGTATACTATTATTATTATTATTATTATTATTATTTTGTTATTACTACAAATGATTAATATTTTACAGATAAAAATACTATAATAAAATGAAGCCAAGATTCTCAAACAAGGGCACTATTAATATAATATCCAAAGACTTTAAATATATTGAAGGGCATCTTTCTTGGACAACTCACCTCACCAAGAACATAAAAGTGGTCAGCATTCTAGAGCAGTGCTGTACCCTGCACCCAGACCTGGGTGTACCTGTGTTCCTTGGCCCTGGTAAACTACATGGAGACATCTTCCCCACACTTGTCACATTGGAAAGATTCTAGAATTTACACTGGAGCATTATACCAAGACAATGAAAAGGTCACCGTCCTGGGGTTTTGCCTGCAGTTGTGCCAGACATTATAGCCTGCCCTGCCCACCCTTCCAGGGTGCTTGTGGGACTCCAAAGCAAGCTGTGATAGTTTTAAATAGGCTGTGAATCTAGCGACTACGTGGGTCCTGTTCTGGGTCTCCTGTATACTGACTCAGACCTGGGGCAAGTTACTCAATCCTTTGCTTCCATTTCTTCATCTGAAATATAGGGCTATTAAAGCATCTACCTTACAGCTATTAAATGTTCAATGAGTTGTACTGAAGCATGAGTCACATGTGAAGATTAAAGAGCTGTGACACGTGGTGCCACGTAAGCACCCACTACTAGCAATTATCCTCATGCCCTGGGGTATGAGGGAAGGAGTCACTTCTGAACAATATGTCCCCAGGAAAACAGTATGCCCTGGAAAAAAGCAGGCTTTCCTTCCTTTTGGAAGAAAACTCCATTGTTCTCTCATTGCACCAGGACAAGGAACAAAACTTGAGTGGGCCCAAGGCTGGATTTGTGGTATGAGAACCTCTTGGGAAGCTAAGGACAGTTGAGGTTGAGAAGTAACAGGTTGTGATGCAGCTGCCCAGGGAGATGTTCAGAAAAATCATCCCAGAATATTAGAACTGCATTTAGAAAAAGTAAAAGGAGACTCAACAGGTTTCTCCACCAGCTGGCTGCTGGTGACTTTTAGCAGAAGAGGATCAGCCCAGTGAAGATACACCCAGAAGCAAAGATGAGGCTAACAAGGACCAGCCTCAGGTCTGCTCACCCTTAGCTGGAAAAACAGTCCCAAGTCTTTTATGAAGAAAAAATCTGGTGCTTAAAGAGAACATATGTCTGAGATGCACACACATAGAAGTTTCCATTTTCTATTTATGTACCAATGTCAAATCTTTGCCAAACAGGTGTTGCTCATCCCTGGCCATTTGCATGCGCATTCTGGAACCAGCCTGTCTATGCGTGCACAGCCCTTTTCTAGATGTGCAAACTGTGCCTCACACTCTGAAAGGCCACATGCTTTGTTTATTGACCTGACAGTGCCATTTTGGTCTTCCTTGTCTTTTTTTTTTTTTTTAAACAAAGCTCCATGTTTTATTTGCATCAGGCCTTGCAAATTATGTAGCCGATTCTGGTAAATGACACTAAGGACTACTGCTTACTAACGCTAGTATAAAGAGTAAAGTGTTTAACTTCTCTGGACCTCAGTCTTCTCACAGGCATAATAAGGTAAGTAACAGTGCCTGCTCCTGTAATTATTGCAGGCTTAAGTGAGACCATATGTGCAAAGCACAGTGCCTGGTACCCACTAAACAGCAGGGACAACATCTGATGAATAAAAAGTAAATTACCTCAAACAAAAAATAATAACTGCTATTTGTATCCATGGATGAAAAAAATCCAACCCAAGTGCTGGGAAAGTACAAACAAGCAGCTGCTTCAGTTCCTTGGCAGGTACAACTCTTAACTGAGGCTGTCAGGCAAGTGACACATTCACCAGCTAACACCTGGCACTTGATCAGGTGCTCTCTCTGATGCAGTTAAAAATGGCTCAAAGTCTAAGATCTCATCGCATTTCATAGCTGTTGGTGAGAAGATGACCACTTGCTGACCTTCAGCACCTGATACTGTTTGTGGAAAAGCATTTGCACCGAGAGTGAGCATCCTTGCCCCAGCTTAGAAACCAGCCGCTGGGTATCCACCAGCAGGGACAATAATCAAAAGCAAGTGGGACTCACATCAGAATTAGCTATGGAGAAAATAGAGAAGGCACATGGTGCACTCAGGTCAGGTCTTCTTTCTGAGTGGCTACTAGTTTGGAGAAGTGCCTGAATTTCTCCCTTTGCTGTAGTCACCCCTTGGTAGCCACAGGGGAGCCCCAGGACCCCCCCACCCACCCACCACCACCACCACCCCGCTACCAAAAGCAAACTCCACAGATGCTCAAACCACTTATGTAAAATAGCTTAGTGTTTGCATACAAACCACACACATCCTTCTATATATTGTAAATCATCTCTAAATTACTTATAATGCTTAATGCAATGTAAATGCAAAATAATACAGTATGCTTCTTCATCTGAAATATGCTTTATTGTTTTCAGAACAATGATAAGAAAAAAGTCGGTACATAGGAGATACCATGTACTTTTTCTTTTGAATATTTTCAATCCACTGTAGGCTGAACACACTGACAAGCAAGGGCAACTGAATAAGTATAAATCTTTCTGTATAAATTTCAGCCTTAGAAACTCTTTTCTTTAAAGAAGTGCTTTGATATTCTCAGATAAAAGGGACCTCTGATACTGAGTGGTACTGCTGCTTCCCAGAAAGGGCTTCATTATTCTTAAGATCTCTCTCCCTGCACATTCTAAATAATGAACATTTTTTTGTAACTAAAAATTACATAATTTCATGCTGTTCATGAGTCTTTTTCAAAAGCAATTTGGCAACCCTGGAAAACATCCATGCCCTTTGATAGACTCATGGGAAACACACTTCCTGAATATAGATTTTCATTTTGAGAAACAGGTTAAGACTCCCACAAAATATGATTACAACGCAGCGAGTGAAACCACAGGAAATCACCCAACATAGTCCTTTCAAAGAACTCTAAAGTTCTAGTGCTATTAATAGCATAGAAGAATGTGGACAATACTACTTTACAAACTATATGAACTCATGTAAGCAGACTAATGTTTGTCATTTCACAATTAATGAGAACACAGCTCCTGGCTGTAGCTACTTCACTTTCCTGACTCCTAAATAGTAAACGAATTCTTCAGGAAAAGCAGCAAGAATTACGTAACTGAGCATTTTCTTATAAGTCCTGCCTTTATAGGCAATGAATGAATTTACCTCTAAGTAATTAAAAAGATAATTACTTCCATACTTCATTATTCTTACATTGTACTATGGATTTTTGTGGGGTTTTTTGTGGGTTTAACTGTATGACTTTATGAGCCTCCACTTTGGAATTAAGATTTAGCCAGTTAAATGATATTCAGTTTTCAATACATTATCTTTCAGTTAAGAGAAAAAGAGACAGATAATGTTTTCTAGGACCCTATCTTAAACACTAATGGTACCGTGATACTAACATGGACTAACATTGAGTTTTATTTTTTATTTGTTTTTGTTGACACACTTGTAATAGTTCCTTGTTCACATCTGAAGTCCTTCTGACTTAGGGAAAGGTGTTTATCATAGGCATAATTGGTATAATCAAGCATTCTGCCTCCTGCTACAGAGGAACAGCCTCCCTGACAGCCAGGTTCAGGATGTGGACACAGGAACCTGGAAGCTCATGGGACAGGATGTCTCTGTGTGTGCTCCAAAGATGGCAGGAGATAGCAGCCGCAGTGGCCAGCAGGGCAGGCACTTGCCAAGGGATCAGAAGCCACTGTTTCTCCACAAGTTCTGCACCATGACTGAGTATTAACTAGGCTTTTTTTTCTGTTGCAAGTAATTAAAAAAAAATCCAGTGCAGACTGGCTTTAGCCTTGGGGTGAAGGGACACACTGACCTCAGTAATTAGTCATTCATATCTCAATGGATGTGAGCAAGACTCCATTTATTTCTCCCCTTTTTCTCCTGTTCCTTTAATGTTAACTAAATTCTAGGCAGAGTAACCTAACAAGGGAAGAAGGTTACCCACAGTGCTTTGGGTCTTGTCTTTTTCCAGATTCACCTCGGGTAAGAAAGACAGGAAGTCATACCCTCCAAAACTAAACGGCTCAGGAGATTCTCATTTGCCTAATCCAGATCATATGTCTGTCCTTGACTATGACCAAACACTGGACTTCTTAGACTCAACAAGATAATACTTCTCCTGAGACTCAGGGCCACAAGTGGAGAAGGGACCGGTGGGATGTAGATACTGGAACATGGGTGAAAGGGTGAACAGATTCTGGGTAGTGGAAATCAAACCAAAGGATTCCAATGCAGACACATTTTTAAAAAGTGCAAAAAACACTACAAGATGGAACCATCATTCCGCAATCGTCTAGTGTCAAATAGGTTAATGAACAGTGTTCCCATAAACCAAGTCCCTGACTTCCTAAAAATACACAGAATAAACACCATTAGTACTCAGTCAGCTGTAGTTATAGTTTTCATAATGCATCAGACAGAACACTAATTTAGTCATTGTACAAAAATATCAAATTTCCTTTCCCTGTTATCTTTAATATGTACTAACATCTCATGTATCCAATAATGGAGAATGAAGAGCCAAAACTTACTTCTGGAAGTGGCCCAGACTTTCTCAATTGTAGTTATTTTCCAATAAATCCTCTCATAATGCATGACACATTTTTCCATCTGTTTGCTTTATATCTGGATCCCCCTGCCACAAAGCCTCCTGCATTCAGAATCGGGGCTCGTGGAAGGTGACTGGATTGTGGGTGTGCACAACTGGTTTGGCGTGGGGAAGCAGGTTTAACTCCCTCCCCAGCTGCTCCGTGCACTCCCTGCTTCCTGGCTGCCATGAGGTAACTCCCCACTGCCAGTCTCTTGCACCACGATACTTTAGCCTTGAGCCCACTGACCATGCGAGAACTGAAACCACTGAAATGTGAGTCAAAATGAACCTCTCCTCCTTTACACTGTGAGTGTTAGGTTTGTATCCCAAGGAGGAGGAAAGTGACTAAGACCCCAGACAATCTAGCCGTCAAACACAATTTAACATGATGCTGTCCTCTGATTTATACAGGGATGCTCTCAGATACAGCTGGGGTTTATAACACTTTCTGCCCTAACATCAGATGTAACAAGCTGCGTGCTTTCTTTGTTGGGTGCAGTGAGTTTGTGGGCTAATATGACCTAATCTAATCTGGAGTATCAACTAAATCTTCTAAGCCTCAGATCTATGACTACAACGGACACCTCAAATACTTGTAGTATCTGATGTTAACGTTCGTAGACTTGCAAATGTAAAAGTAGTGTGTTGTACAATTAAAGAGGCAATGATGGTTAACTTTAGATGTCCAGTTGGCTGGCAAAGCATTAGTAATGGGTGTGTCCTTGAGGGACTAGCAGGCGAGTTGGTGGACTGAGTGGGAAAGATCTGTCCTCCTATGGGTAGATGCTGTCCAGTCAATTGGAGTCTGAATACAGCAAAAACGCAGAGGAAAAAGAATCCTCTCCCTCTCTCCTGCACCTGGAATACATTCTTCTTCTGCTCTCAATCACCAGAACTCCAGACTCCTTGTTTGGACTTGAGTACTCCCCTCTCTTACATCTATATACATATCTCCCATTGGTTCTGTCTCTCTGGAAAACTAATGATACAAAGGATTTCCAAGTTAGAATGACAAATCTTCCACCCCAAAATGTTCGTGTCATACATAACTTTCTTGATTTCATCAATATAAAAGTGAAGGTAGGCTTAAAGGCAAAAACAAAAACATGTTCCTCTAGTACATCCCTCTAAAACGTAAGCCAAAAAGAAGCTGATTATCAAAACTGTGCATAAAAGGCTTTCCTAAAAGTTGGACCCCAGAGAGAAACAGAGCAGAGAATTCCTTCCAGAAAGCACAACAAATTTTCATGAAGGATCCTCTCACTGAGAGGACAGAGGACCATCTGAATGTCTGTCTATTATTGCTATTGGCCAATTACAACTGTATCTCTCATGCTTCTACATGAGAATTTTTAGTACAATATACTATTGTATGGGGGCAGAAATTTCCCAAACACATTTCAGCAGAACTGGAAGAAAGAAATGATAGATAGATAGAATCAACAGAAGCAGAGACTGGACAGAGTCATGTGGGAAAAAAATAGAGGAAGCACAGAGGATGATGAAAAGGCTCCTCACAGAAGACTTTTATAAAGTACCAGAAAATATGCTAGTATAAAGGTGAGGGCCTTCATACTTAAAAGAGATAACCTTGTTTGCAACAAATGTGAAATTTAGGGTGGAGTAGAATAGGGTGAAGCTAGCCTAAATTTGATCTCATTCAGAAAACAGAAAGAAATAAAATTCTGCAGAGAATAAAACAGATGGGCCATGCTTGAATGAAATGTTCCACACAGGTTAAGCTTAATTGTCAACTTGATTGACCTGGGAACCACATAGGGGACCATTAAGCATATTTATGAGGGTGTTTGGGTGGATCAGACAGTCGTGGACTTGGGTTTATATATCTGGTCTCTGGGCCCTTCCTCGCTAGCTCTGCTCGTCTGCTAAGCTTTTGCTTCACCACAAATTTCTACCATGATGTCCCTGCCTTGGAGGCACCTGACCAGGGATTGAATTCCTGGAAAACATGCGCCAAATAAACCATTTCCCCTTTAAATTTTGTGGGTCAGGTATTTTACCCCAGCAGTGAAAAGCTGGCCAATCAACACGGTCAGTGCAATAGATGTGAAGAAAGACTTAGAAGGTTCTATCCGGATATTACACTGCCTCATCTTCTCTTCAGTTCCCCAATTAGATAGAACAAATATCTACTGGGATATCCAGTTTGTTTGCATTGTATGAAACAGCTAAAAGCCAAGAGTTATCATTAAAAGTTAGCAAATCATATAAGTTAAAGTAAGCATATTTAAGTGTTTAAAAGTAAACATTTAAAAGAAGGGACAACCAAAATTGTGTAATGGGGGATACAGAGAAAAGACGTTATCTCCCATAATAGAGATCCAATACATTCTAAGTAATGAACAGAGTACTAAAGGTTTTGTATACTATTGTAATAAAATTAATTTCTAAGGCAAAAATGGAAAACTGCCCAAGAATCAGTATTCCCTTACACATTCACAAATAAGACATGACAAAAATTGGTGCAGGAAAGAAGTAGTTATTACCATATGACCTGTTCTACACAGCAGTTACTTAATTGTCCACAAGAAGCAAATGTTCAGATTTTATATAATGAACCTGTATTGGGAAGGTAGGAAAACAGGAAGAGAGGCCTTCTGCCATGTAGTGGGGAAGAAGAAAAAGCATTCACTCCTCTTCTTTGACAATAGGAAGTTAAGAAATAATTCTTAACTAAAAATGCCAGATGAGACAATACAAGTGTGATATTTGAAGACCAAAAAAGGGATGCTAAAAAAAAATTAAAGAGAAAAATGCACTTGTGTCTGAGAAGTTGAAAACAATGGGAGAAGGCATAATGCTGTTTTCCATCACGAGCTTTGAAGAACACTTTCATTCTATTATATATTACTTTAATGAGAAATACAATCTGTAAGAAGGATTGACCTCCACAGTACAATCCGAATTCAACTGACCCATTCATGGTTTGCACTCTAGCCTTTTTGCTAGGCTTTTTCTAAAGAAATGCTCTCTGGCCTTTGAAAATAAATTCTCCATTTTTCTTTTCCTTTTTTTTTTTTTCTTTTTTATCGGTACTGAGGATGGAACCCACAACCACAGACTTGTAAGGCAGGCGCATATGCCGCTGAGCTAAATCCCCAACCCCTTTATTGAAAGCCCCTGAAACAATGGTACTCATTTGACAGTGTTTTGTAAGCCTCCTTTCACCCTCAAACTTCCATGCACTCTGTGAGGATATATGCTAACAATCACTCAGTTACTCGATTACTCCAGGCGGCCTGCAGAGGGAAAGATATTAGCAAGTGATCAGATACCTATGGTGGTGATGACTGTTCCGGCAAAGAAAAAGGCACTTCCGAGGTCCCAGTGACTGCTGCTGTTGGAAGAGTTTCCTATTGGACTGACTCCTGCATTGTCGGCATCAAGCGCATGCTGCAAAGAAAGACAAAAGCACAAGACTCAGTTTCAAAGTTTTTGAAAAAGCTTTTGATAAATTTTAGCTGTTTTCAAGAACCTGCAATGATCTAAAGACAACGGGTTAAGTGGATGAAGGCACGGTCATAAAGTGAGAGACAAGTACTCATTATGCAAGTGAGTTTTAAAGGCAGGGACTAGGGCAAAGAGTATGGTGCGATTCACACAAAACACGCAGGCATGAGATGGTCACCCCGAGTTACACAAAAGGCACACGCCTATTGCTCTGCAAGCACACAGAAGATGCCTGAAAGAATGTGGGTATTTCTGGAAGCCAGGAGTTAAGCTCCTGTTTCACTCTGCTTTCTCCTTGTTTGAATGTCTTATCTTGATTCAACAGCTCAGGAATTAAGCACTTGGGCTCCAGGTCAGAGAATCTCAGCTGTGTCCATTATTAACTTCACAACCTTGAGCAGGTAGTTTTAACCTCTCTAAGCCTACTTTCCTCATTTGCAAACTAGATATAAGATCTCCCACCACAGACTTATAAGAATCAGCATAGATGCACCCTGTAACATCCTTAGCCAAATCTACAGGTTACATAGGGTCTCTGTTGCATATTTTTCTTTTCTGTTTAATGACAGGCATAGTTGTACGAAACACTTAGTTGGGTGATTTTGTCATTGTGTGAACACCATGAGGTACACTTCCACAGGTTAAAATGGCTATATGTCACTAGGTGATACTATCTAATGGGGCCACAATGATAATGGATGAGCCATTGTTGACAAAAACACACAGTGACTATTATAACTAATTTCATGACTGTCACTTCAGGTACCCTCCCAACACACGCATATGCATTGCTCTTTTTAAAAATAAACTCCAGTGACTCTCTGTAGACTTCTGGACTTATATTCATATGCCTTAAAAGTCCCACTAAAATCACCACAACGATCACACTGTCTCATCTCACCCATTATAAAAGTTCCCACTCCATGAGGTGGTCCCTCATTCCTACATACTTTGTTTGCACCTTGCTGCATACTATGCTGACTTTTCAGGGTTTATGTCAGAACGCACTTCTGGGAATCTCAGTCTGTGCACTGCAACACCACAATTGCCCCTTCCCCTGGGATCACACTTCTGCACCAAGTGTAAGTACTTCCATACATTTTTTTCTAGCTTCATTATGAGCAAAATAAAATAAAATACTACTAGCAGCCTTTCTCCAGCTGGCCCTGCAATCCTTTCTCAGGTCAGTGGAGAAGGTAGGAAGCACTGTCCCTGCAGCTCAAGGACATGTGTTCACACAGGTGAGCTGAGGTGAGAAGTGACAGGTGGAGGCTTCAGCGAGGAGGTGACAGACATATGTGCTTCTTTTAAAACGACAAATAGAGACTCTGTTCCCTGGGCAAGCTGGAATAACCTTATGTAAAGAGGGCAAGACAAACATTGAAATGTGATTATATTTATCCTCAGCAATGCCCATTAAGCTTTGTTTAAATAGGCACATCGTGGTGGTCACAAATCAGATTACAACGGAAAAAGTCCATCATCCTTGTATTCTCCCTTCAATAAGAACATTTAATGCACTATTTGAAACTCTTTAGGCCAGAGATAAGCAACCTTTCCTATGAAAGTGCAGAGAGTAAATATTTTAGCTTTGGCAGACCACATATGGTCTCTGTTGTATATTTTCCTTTTTTAAATAACACCTCAAATATACAAAACTCACCTCAGAAGGATGTAAAAACAAGCCACAGACTAGATTTGGCAGACAAACAATTGATGGGATGATGGAGAAAGTCTCTTTTAGGTTTTAGACTATTCTTTCTTGCCACTAAGAACATGAAATACTATGAAGGTTGTAGTCAGTTGCTAATTCTAGCATAATCCCTGGCACACAGAATTTTAAATTAGGCTGTATGGGATGTGTACAGAATATCTCTGCCATTGATTTAAATTGGCCTAATTGACAAGAATCACTTACTCACTTATTCAAGGGCTATATTCTGTTCTGCTTCTGAGGGGAAACAGATGGTGAGGCCTTTCTTCTAGCAAAATATCCATTTTCACCATGCTGTGTGAATGTCATCCAACCCAACCACAAAGCCTTAGCCTGTTTTTATATTCCCATTATCTAGCTGACTCCGATGGGCTCACTTGGAACTAATATTCAGGGACAGTTCTAGGTCTCAGTCATTTCAGTTGCCTCAAATCATACCATCAGTGCCTTACATTTATCTTCTATAAAGCTGCAAAGACAGTGCAGGTTCAGGTAAGTCTCACAGTGCTGAGAATTTTACACCAACATCAGTGCTGCACATAAAAACACAAATAAGCATAAAAAGACAAATGGGGTTGATTATTTTATAAAACAATCTGAAGTATGATGCCTTTTCAAGTTTCCTTTTTCTTGAATTATACCACTGATAAATATTTAAGGTTTATGTATGTAACTCACAAGGAAAGTATTTATCAGAGGAAAGAAATAAAAGGAAACTAGTAAGTGTCTGCCTTTAGCCAGATGCATCGAAAGTGTTATTCCATTTTATTCTTTCAACAACTGGCGAGAAAGTATAATTCACACTTTAGAGATGACGAAACAGGCATAGGAAACGGAAGTCACTTGTCCTAGATTGCAGAGCCATGACACAGAGAAGTCATGGTGCAAACCCAGCCTAATCCAAAGCACATGATTTTGACCTTCCCTCTACAGATGATAACCAGGACACACTCCACCTCTCCCACTTCCATCCATACTCCAGATACTGTCCAAAAATTCAGACAGAAATGGTCTTACAAGGGGTTATTTCCACCTGAACCACCTTCTTGAACATGCAAGTGGAGAAGACAAACTTCATTTAACTGCCAGAGCTGGTCAGAGCTTACTGACTTCACATTAAAAATAAAGTCTTAAAAACTACATTAAAATAGGAAGTGATTGATTTTGTAGCCTAAAAGAGAAGGAGAAGAAAGAGAAGCAACAGGAAAAAAAAAAGGAAGTAAAAAGGGGTATCAGTTGGCAAGAGAGGGGTTCAAGCTTAGTAGTAGTTCCGCAAGGATCTTAAGAGTGGCTCCATCCAATAACCAATTTTAACTTGTTTCATGTTTGTCTGTGATATATAGTCCTATTTTTCCTCCATCTTCAGTAAAGTGGGCCACACGTCCAAATGGTGGGAGAAAGCAGTTTTGTGAAAATCATACACAAATGATTAAGGACATAGGAGGACCACTGATGATCTGAACTAATCCACTGAGAGGAAGACTTATAAAAAAAATAAACTCACCAACAAGTCCCCACATAAACTCCATGGGGGACCTCTGGGGGTTTCGTCTATAAAAAAATAAAAGGAATCAGCAAATCTCAGTATAACAGACTACCATCATTTGAATTAGGAGCATTTTTAAGAATTTTTAACTTATATATAAAAATTGTTCATATTTATGGGATATCATGTTATATTTAGATAGATGTATGCATTGTGTATTGTTCAAATGAAGGTAAATATATTTACTCTAATAATTATCATTTCTTCATAGTAAAAACATTCTAAATTTATATACAAATGTATAAGGATATATATCCAAGTAGATCAATGCATTAGAAGCATCAAGTATCATCTTTAACTCAATAATGATAATTCTAAATGAGTTCATAGTTCTGCCTTCTATTAATTTTCTAAAGTATTTTTCAATGATCTCAAGCACTTGACCTCAAGTAAGGCATTTTAAAATGAAATGTATTTGCTTTAAAATTTTTATCTCTGCATTCAGGCTGCAAAAGTGAAGATCAGCCAGCTCCTTAGGGACGCTCAAAAGGCATCACAGGATAGAGGTTCAACCGACATCGCCTCAATTAGGCTGCAACTCAGTTTCAGTGAGCACCATTTCTTCATCCACAAGCTCAACTATTATCAACTTCAGAGAGTATCGTGAGCACCAAGACAGACAGACAGACAGACAGACAGATAAATGGGTTGACAAAGGTAAGAAGGCATTAATTCACAGCCGAGCTCCGAACCCTCTTGAATTTCCTTTTTAGCCTTTATGATGGAATTTCCAGCACTCATCCAGCTGCCTACCAAATGACTCAGGCATGAATGCATAAGTCAATAATAAATAAATAAACGAATTAAAGTAGGAAATGTAAGCATGTAATCTTTCCAGAAGCATCAGAGGAAAACATTTTACTTCCTGGTAAAAATCAGGCTCAAAACTCTGTGTGTGTGTGTGTGTGTGTGTGTGTGTGTGTGTGTGTGCGTGTGTAGTGATTTGTTTATTTTCTTAGGAATGAGAAACTGATTGGGAGGAGGGAAAGATCTAAAAGTCTGTATCTCTCTCTCTCTTTTACCCCCTTCCTTCACACCATGCATTAAGGCCCCCTTGAAAGTATAAGAAAGAAATTTCAGTATGTCCCAGAGTGAGCCAGGTCTGAGGCTTACACGAAGGAAGAGAGGAGAGGGAGGCAACTCTTCCCCAGACAAGACCCCTCCCACATATTTCCCCTAAGGCAATGGCAGGCCACATAAATTACCATTCCAGACAGCAGAGATGCCATCACAAGTGTTACCATTGCACTGGGATGAATGATGGCCCTCAGGGGACCACTAACTGTCCTGGGCTTTTCTCCTATGATCTGTGTGTTCAGTGAGATCATCTGTTTCTCTGTTTCCTTATGGGACACCAAAATGACTAGCAAAAGTAGCACAATAATCGCTCAGCTTGTCTCAGATTAGCTGAAGAATACAACTGATGTATGTCACATGCAGGGACAGGGTCTCTGATTTACTGTCTAAACAAGGACACTTGCAGGATGACAGGTGGCTCGGTGACGACTAAGCTGAAACTACAGCTCAAATGCAACCCAGGATACACAGTGATTACCACTGGGACAAAAAGGAAAGACCTCACCTAACCAGGCATGGCAGCCCCAGTTCTTGAGAGGCCAAGGCAGAAGGAGCTCAAGTTCAAGCCCAGCATAGACTTAGTGACTTAATGAAACCCCATCCCAA